AGGGACTTAGATACTGCATAGAAGAGAACAAAGCTAATGGCTCATGGAATGGTGGCCAGGCAGGACAGTGTTCAATGGGCCAATAAACGTAGTCAAACTATTAGATCCAAGTCATATTAAGGACTAGGATCAAAATTCATGCTGCCAAGCCCAGTCTTCTGAAGGGTTAGAAGGGGTTTTGCTCAATTACTTTGAGGATATTAATTTCCCTTGCTTAACTTGACAATAACGAGGTAGCAAATCCATATTTTATGGAAGGAAACTACACTGTGTTTTCAGAATTGCTGGTAAAACAATCTCCCTAATCTGGTATAAATGAGTGCTCTCTCTCCCTTAGGTTTCTTTCCTGTACAAACTTTGAACCAGCTCAAGGTTAAGTCTCTTCTATTCCTACAGAAAAACTTTTAGAGGATGGAACCTTATCTGCTATCTCTGGGTTTGGAAGGAGGGTCATGAACATTTACTATTTAGTTAGGCACTACAGTAAGGAAGAAAAATACAGGTAGGCATTTTTAACCAAGGAAATAGTTACAATACCTTATTTTCTTCTGCTGGAGCAGAATTGTCTATTTGTTCCTTTAGTAACAGATCGCAGCTGCAGAGTTAAGTAATTTATAAATGAGGAAATGTTTCAAAAGATAGCACCTCCCTCTTCTTAGCCTCACCCTTTTTTCACCTTCACAAACCAGCATACTCTTTCTTTAAGGCTTATTTTGGTTAGAAGTTCAAATAGAAAGACAGAGATAGACTCTTGAAGTCTTGCCTGAATTATGTAATTACTCACATTTTCCATGTTTGTCTGCATCCAGAGACCTGAATTCTGACAAACTGTAACCCATACTTTCCTTATTTAATCCTCTCTCATCTACCAAATGATGATTAATGTGCTTCACTCTAATAGTTTTAAAAAAAAAATAGAAAGCTTCAAATTGGTGAATAATAATTGCCAACAAAACAGAAACTGTGACTGGTGAATTATTTCCTGCTAACCTGTCAAAATTGCTCTTAAATTCCTAGGTGAAAGGAACCCAGGAAAGTATTTTGTACTTTATTTGTGGTGCTGGTGCAGAGTGCGATGTCAGTTCTCCCCAGTGTCAGGGACAAGGAAGCTAGGATCAATGCTTTAGATGAAGTTATGAAATGGAACGTAGGTTTATGACTTTCCATTTCTCTTATTTTTCCTTAAGAATGTTTAATGTTTTCTTTCCCTCCTTTTTTTTTAATTGTAAAGGAAAAACATTAGGGTAATTGTTTCATTTGCATGAGCTTGGAGGAATGGTGAAGGGATTGAAGAGTGGGGTGGAAACAGAGGAAAAATTCAGAAAGGAATGACAGAAAGGAGGAGACTGTATGAGGCATGACACACACATACACACACACACAAAATACAATGAATGCTTAAAGATTTTTTTAAAAATTATAGTAAAGGATACATTCTCATTAATTCTCCTCAAAGCACTCCACCTCACTTCAAAATATTTATCTCACCATTCTTGTCACTTTCTGAAGCAGTTCTGGAAGTTCTTTTTCTTGAATGTCTTCAGAGTGTGATAAAAAATATAGTGAATGCTGCTGTCATGTGCCATTCAATAGAAAGGCAGACTTGAAAAATCATCACAGTGTGTGCTTATCCACCATATTCACCAGATCTGACACCATGCCACTTCTGGCTTTTCCACAAAGGCAAAATAATCAAGACAGGTAAATATTTGAATTAGTTCAGGTCACTGAAGTAACCACGACAACGCAACTAAAAACCCTCATGAAAGAAGAATTCTATAACTGCTTCAGAAAGTGAAAAGAACGATAGGATAAGTGTTTTCAAAGTGAGAGGGAGAATTGTGAGGGGGATTTACGGCACTATGTCTTTTAATTTAATTATTTTAAACATTCCCCATGTGTTTTGATCATACTTTATGATGCATTTCCATTTTGCTGTTTTCATTTTTCTCTTCACAGGAGTATACATATCTTCTGGCAAACTGGCTCAAAGTTTGTTATTTGAAAGTTAACATGGAGCCCACAACAGAAGGTTACCATGGGTGTCACAAGAAATGAGAACCACAAATGCCTACTGGCTCATACCAAGCGGATGTTCTTATCCATGGATGTCTCGGCACTATTTTTAGCTGAAAGTGTCACATGGAGGCTCCATATGGAAGGACTGCTTACCCTAACTGACAGCAGCACAGCAAATGAGGGGTTTTGTCACTACCCCAGTCCCTACATTACATCATACAGCAGTTTAGATTCTGCAGCACCAATCAAGAAGCTGTTTCATCTCCTTTGTGCTGTAAGACTATGCTTCTCTCATTTTTCCCACCAAACAGTCTCCAGATTCCTTTTCCACTAACCTCTTGATTAAGCCCCTATTAAGAGATATACTATTTCTGTCAATAAGATTATGGGTTACATTATTTTGCTGTTCATCAGGGGGAAAGAAAGTAGCATATTGTCTCTTACTTGTACAAAACTGTATGTACTTGTATGTACATGTACTGTGTACATATTACTAATAGGGATAGAGGGTTAGAAATTAAGTGAATAAGTAGGAATGAGAGGGAAATATTTTGCAATAGTCTTTTTATGGTATTGATTTTTAGACTGTGAATTTATTCAGTATTAAAAAAAACTCTTTAGAAACAGAAAAGAGAACTCCAGGAGCATCAAAGTTATTCTAATACGAATGCAAAAAAGAGAATGGGTGGAATGGGGCAGGGACAGTTGAGGAGATAATGGCTGGCATAGGCTATTCAGGCTGCTAGCAAAATACCAAAGACTGACTGGATAATTTCAACATTTATTCTCGCAGGACTAATGGCTGAAAGTCTAAGGTCAGAATACCAGCATTGTCAGATTTTGGTGAGGATCTGCCTCCTGGTTCACAGATGGCTGTTTTTTTATTGTATCTTTACAATGGAGAATGAAAACATTTTGATCCCTTCATCTCCTTATAAGGGTAATAGTCCCATTATTTGGGCTCCACCCTTATGTCTTAATTACCTCGCAAAAGTCTCCTTTCCTTCAAATATTTTATACACATACTTGTTTCAACATATGAACTCAAGAGGTGGACTGACGACAATACTGTCACTATCAATGGCTGAGTATTTCTCAAAGCTGAAACAAGATGTAAAATCTCCAGGTAGAAAATCTGATGATGAGATGAGCAGGATAGTGATAACAACAGCTACTACCACAAATTAAAAACTACACCCGTAGGAAAATTTAATACTCAAAATACCAGGACAAAAAATTATGGAAATTACAAGATGCAAAGAATTATTTGGATGTGAACTTTCCCATCAGTAAACTTGAGTGCCAAAATAACATAAAATCATGGCCTATAAATACTGAAGAGTGTTTTGAACCTAGAATTCTACAATCATATTCTCACTCAAAAAAGGAGAGTTGAGTCTTTTAACTCTTGATCAAAGCTATTCAGAAAGTTACCATGTAGCACTTTGTTGAATGAATTATTAAATTTCATAGAAAATGAGTTTAAAAGTAATCAAGAGAATGGAAGAAGCAAAAATCCTTAATTTTCAAAAATGTACCAATCAAGTTTAAAAAAAATAACTGAATAACTTTTTGAAATGCTGAATATCTTTGATCAGCTACACATACTTATAAATATAATGATGAACATAATCATTATCATTTATTAAATATATATACAAAGCATTCTCTTAGTCACATAATATATATGAACTCATAAGTTCATATCATGAGTTCATATCAGTCTATGAAATAAACATTCACACTAAAAGAATACTGATGAAAAAACATCACCATATTTGGGTGGTCATTGGACCATTCATAATTGTTAGATTTGGATACTGGGATTTGGATACAGATAGTCAGGGTCCTGAAGAAACTTCCTTGGCCACTATGTCCTGATGAGTCAACATTCATGCCTTCCATTATTGGCAGTGCACCTGGAACATATTTCCAGGACCCAGCCACAGGCACACAGACAGAATTTGCTGCCAGTCAGATCCCAAACCTAGGACTTGTCTCAGTTATCAGGTTTTAAAATTATAGTCTGCTCTGCATCTGATTCACTCAAAGGATTCAGAACTATTTGAAACAAACATCAATGTTCTTTTTTTTTTTTTGTACTGGGGGGATCAAACTCCAGATCTTGCACTTGTGAGGCAGGCTGCGGAACCACTGAGCTAAATTCCCTGCCCAAAACAAACATCATTGAAAGGAAACATTTTTGTTTCCCCTCCTGTTCTTGCACCTATCTTATCTCCATTTCTCTACCCAGGTTAATGACTCTGACCTTGATTCTACAACTAGACCACTAGATTTGAGGGTTACTCCTGGTATCCCTGAGGTTATGCACTGGTTTCCCAAAAGGACTTTGACCCAGACTATTCTTCTGAATTTCTATGTCTTTTGCTGCTATGAGAAAGCATCTCTAATTTATTTTTTACACCACCAGGTCCCTCTTACCCTCAGTATTGGATCTTCAAAAATCAGGAATGGCTATACCCGTAGATTCTTTGTCTTGACTATTTTCTGAGTTCCTGCAAGTAAGTCATCATATGCAACTCTTGGGAATCAGGGTGCTATAATTTGGACCCAGAATGTCCTCCAAAGGCTCAGGTGTTAAAATCTTGATTTTAAAGGCTGGTGTCATTGGAAAGTGATATAAACCTTCACAAGGTGGGGCATACAGAGAGGTTTCAGGTCATTAAGGGTGTGCCACCAAGGGGCATTTTAGTATATTTTCTTCTCTTTTGCATGCTGATAATGACATAAGTCCCTTTGTTCCACCACATGCTCTCACCATATACTGCCTTAATACAGGGCCCAAAGAAAACAGGCACAAAAGCAACAGGGCCAACCAACTGTGGACTGAAACTTCCAAAACTATAATCCAAAATAGATCTTTGTCTTTTTAAACTCGATTAGCTTGAGTTATTTTTCTTTAGAGTAGTGGAAGTTGATTAACACACAAGTCCTACGAGGAAATGATAGTAATCAAATAGTTGTGTGTAAACATTTATTTATTTTATTTATTACATGTTTGCATTTTTACATGAGTTCCAGATACACATATGTGATATATAATGTTAAAAATGCACATAAGATACATTTGCCTATTCTTTGGTGCTTTTCCTAGTTATTTATTATGGAATAGAATGGAAAGACATTACTTAGTCTTTTCTTTAGATAAAAAATTAACCAATTACTTGCTTCTGTAACTGTATCAGTTATATTAAATAGACAGTGAACAATAATTTAAAAAATCATATAAAATAATAAATAACACATAAAAGTTAATACTATAAAATAAACTAGTAGTAAGGAAGAAATTAATGGGCATCACCTTGCTTTAGGAAACCAAATGATTAATGATGTTGTCATGTTATGATTGACAATTGTGTGAGTATTTCTGAGTTTATACTTAGTATGTAGCAAAAGTTATTCAGAAGAGAAATAGGCAGAAAAAGTTTCTTTTTGGCACTCAGGTTAACAATTCTGAAGCTTATAGCTCATGTTATAAGATCATTGTGTCAAATCAGAATTTTTCAATTTTGGGGCAATGAGAATCTGCCAAAAAATAAGATGCTTTTGGTTATTCTGTGCATGATAAGGAAGAGGAAAGGATGGTCTGCCACAAACTGAGGACCACCATGACCTGTTCTTCCTGTCATGATGGCCCCAGTACCCGCAGCTGCTACCGTGCCCTCTTCATTGACATCTACTGTGGCTTGATGGAACACCTCAGACAGAAACAGATCATCCCCCTCTGACATTCCTGAGAAATTGGCCTGGCCTTCATTGAAGGCATCCTCCATGCCCATGCTTCTCAGAATGGATTTGAGTTCATAATGCTCTTCTAACTTGAACTGGGGCATATAGACTTCTACATTATCTTCAGCTACTATGTCTTTGCTGGTCCACTTGTTGAGATTGTCATAATTTATTTCACTTTCCAGCTGCAAATCAAAAACAAAAAACAAAAGAGACACAATGAGTTTAAGGAAGAAAAACAACTCAAAGTCTAAAGTTAATCCTCAGTGACTTTACTAGAGGGTGGGGAATACAAAAATTAAATAGATTGCCCAAATTTTTGTAAGAAGGTAGAATGTATGACATATATTTAAGTCTTTGAATGGAATTTTGGCATATCCCTCATGTACTATTAATTGATTCACATATTTCTTTGAGAAATTCCACTCTACTTCTTGAAATATAGATGTACATCTCATGAAAAGTAGGTTTAGCCACACACACAAAAAAAGTTTAAAACAATTGATGTTGTAATGCCTCACCAACTGTAGGCCAGTGGACTCCTCAGCAATTTCATCTGGAAGCAACAGGAACATGCTGACATCTCCTTCATATGGGAGTTCTAAGATCTGAACCTTTAGGTCCTCTATGTATCCTATGTTCAGTTTTTTGCGCAAGTACATCATCTTCACAGGTATGTGCTGTGTCTGAAATTAAAAAGTCAAATATAAAGTAAAATGTCAATTTAACAGTTAAAAATTTTAAGAACTATAAAAGAAAATGGGTTCTGCTTCAATTTTGAAGAAATGTGTTTTTAAATCAATGAAATTATTTATATATGCTTATAGTAGGTATTCTGCTCTTATTAGCTTTTCCAAGTTTATATCCATTACTTAGTAAGACAGACAACATCAATAATAATACTAAAACACTTCTGCAGTAGATATGAGCCAGAAACTCTACTAAAGCTCTTTGAACATTTACAACAATCTTTTGAATTGGATATTATATTATCTTAGTTTTAGAGAGCAAACATGAAATGCATAGAAGATTAGAGAGGTTGTAGCTGGTAATGTAAGAGCCAACATTTCAGTCCATGTACATATAATTGTAAAACCTGTGGCCTTCATCTCTAGTCTTCCTAGCTCTTATGAAATTATTGAATGATAATCAGTAGCTTAAAAGAGTCAATGCCTCACATGTATAAACTATAAATAGTAATTTATGTAGGAGAATCAATGAATGGTCTCTAATTTTTTTTGCCTCTGGATTTTCTAAGGCCAGAAGTATGTTTTAGAGAAATGAGTCTTGTCTCATACCCTGTTCACACGGAAAGGATAATGTCTGGTTGGTCTTTTCTCAAATGGAGTTTTCCATTTTCCTTTGAAGTAGACAGCATTTACCAGGACCATCTTGGTTGCCTCATCAACAGAACCTTCAGGTAGCAGGTTTGGAATGTGGCCTAAAGAAACACATGTGTTTAGGTTTCATAATCAGAAACTGAAGTTACAATTTCTTGATTCTTTCAAGTAGCTCTCAAACTCAGTGTTCACATTTGTCAAACTGCTGAGTTTGATCTTTACCCTCAAGTTTTTCTCTACATTTGCTTAAAGCAAAAGTGAAATTAGGACAAATTTCTCAGAAGATTTATAAAATCCAAGAGAAAATTAAGCAATACTGCATTTAAAACATAAAATAAGGGAAAGGAGATTTTTTACTTCCTTCTCTATAATTTGGTCAGTTTTTCAGTTGTCTGGCAGTTACTTCAGAAGAAAGTGAAAGTGTCTTAGTTAACATAAGAGTTCCTTCCACATTGTGTCACTCTCACTCAATGCTTCCAGATCTGGGCTAGACAGTCTATAAATTTGAAAATAAATGGATTAAAAAAACATTTTTAAGTTATGGTAGATAAGTTAAATTAGAAATAGTACAGATATGAGATGAGAAAGGAAGAATTATCATGGATAAGCCTAGAATATTGGCAGAGACACTCAAAATCAGTTGTGAAACAATGTGTAATAAATTCTATAACTGGGCTAAATCATGCAAAGTCAAAAAAATAGGGAGGAGAGTAAAAAAGTGAGCCTGATAAGGTTCTCATAAAGATAACAGGATCATAATCTTTAAAAACTTGTTTGAGAAAGAGTTCATTTATAGAATGCACCTGCCCTGCATTTTTCAAACCATTAAAATACATTATATTACTTAATCTTGCTACTACTGTATTAGACTATAAGTTATATGATGACAGGATTTACAGTTTTTATTTTTATCTCCATATTCAGTGCCTGGTATATAGCATGTAGTAGATAAACATTTGTTGATTGAATGAATACATTCAAAAGCAATGAATGAATGATTTAATTAAATTTGAGTTCTTGCAAAAAAATACACAGGGAAACTGGAGCTAATGAAAGAATCAAGGAGTTGAAATGGTACAAATGACTTAGACAATCAAGAAGAAATGACACAGGGACCAAAGAAACTTGACAATAGATTGCCTTTGAATAGACAGAGGAGAGTTAAAATAATTTCATGGTCCTTCCCTCTTCCATTGCTAGTATTCTTCATAACTCACACCAATTACCTAGCTCAAGGGCAAGTCCGTTTTTATTTGTTCTTGTCTGTAGTAGGCACCCAGTCACAATCATTTCAATACTAACATTTCCCATGTTTGAAAATTTCTGCCTCTTCATGTTTTATGCTCTGCTTATGTCTAAAATCAATTATATAATATAACATATTTCTAACCATGCATCTCAACTATTGTTTTCTCCCTGAAAACGTTGTATAGTTAAATAGGAATAAAGCTCTATTAGCAAAGTAACTAAAGTTAAACAAACTTTAAAGGAATGAAGGTGAAGTTCAAGGATTATTTAGTTTTCTACATGAAAAGAAGAAAAGAAAGTATTTTCTTGCTTTTACCTTTGGTTTGAGTATTGACCCAGGAGTTAATTTCTTTTCTGGATTCCTCTGCACATTTCTGAAAGTCTACTTCCTGAGGTTCTATAGAGTAATATTTCTTAGAGTGTTTGATGTATTCCTTTAAAGCAAGAAAATAAAATATATATTGAACAAGCCATAGTGTAATTGCAAATTACAAACCTCCAGTGCATACTGGGAGGCATGGCACAAGAGTAGGGATTAAAGCTGGCTATGGAGGCTGAATGAGGAAATAATTCAGACTACAATTTCTCCATTCACCCCATCCCTACACTCTAGCCCCAACTCTGCCCTCTTGCATCTTTTGCGTTATAGATACTGCATGAGACCAAAGAGGTTTGGCTTAGGGAACAGTGGCTCTGGAAAACTGTGTCCATCATCCTGATTTCTCTGCCAGGTGGATATTTGCAATGAGAAGGGGAGAAACTAACAGAGAGAAAATAAGGGACAGCAATTATGCAAGAGACCAGTATTACAGAGTCTGCATGGAATCCTGACTCTGTATGAGTTGCAGAGAATGACTTCAAAAGTGACCTCACTGCTAGTTTGGGGCCCAGCCATTTCAATTACAGGCCACTTACTTCCTTGAATCTTGCAGTCTTCTCTCCAAACAGCTTAATGGCACTTTCCAATAAATAATCCCCTGTGGGTGCAGTGATGGCAGAACTGAGAGAGTGGAATAATGAATGAACTTTGTCTCTTGCTTGTGTCTGAAACAGAAAGAAATGGTTCTCTTTTTAAAACACAGGACTACTAAACATTATATTTCTTTAACCAATGACAACATTTTCTCAACACAACAATAAAATATTATACTCATACATATATTTTCCATTAGAGGAATTGCTGAAGAAGTGATTTTGATATGGTTAAGTTGCTTTAAATTTATGTAATTTGCTCCAAATTTCACTGTGTCTATCAACTGGATTCAATCAGGCAGTAACTAACAGCATAGATAAAAGGCATGTTCCTTTTCAGTTTCTAAACTTCAAGATTTCCAAGGAATTTTCATTATTCTTACAAGAATGAGTAAGTTCTGGAGATCTAATATATAGCATGGTGATCATAGTTAATTATACTCATTTGTGAAGAGTACCGTATATTTTATTTTAAATGTCCTTATCTTCCACCCACAATACACAGACAGTAATTACTTTTGCTTTGGGGTGTGTTAAATTGATTGTAGTTATTTCAAAATGTATATCAAATCATGACATTGTACATCTTGAACATACACACTTTTTATCAGTCAATTATGATGTTCTCAATAAAGTTTTGGGGAAAATATTACCTTAGTAACAAAGTTCATATAGATTCTGTAGGCACCAGTTTTGCAGGGTAGTTGCTGCAATGGGTTTTAGTAAACCACAAAAGTGAATGGGTTTTCCTTCCATCATTCACTCTGTACATTGTAAGTGCTATGAGAAACATATGGTCAGCCACAGCAGCAGCCTGTAGTGTAACAGGGGATGCAATGGACTGAAAGTGTTTCAGGAAATTGGTGGAAGATTCTCCACCCTTCTGGCTCATAACTCAATGAGTGATGGGGAGATAGATTATATAATGTCAAGAAGGAAGCTGTGAGAGGCATCTCTCCATAATCTACCTTGTGAGCATGATGGTTGCAGTTGGTTACCGATAGGAGTACAGTTACACCAAGTCATTATGATGTAGCTGGATAGCTGATATTTAAGGAAATGGAATACTTAGAAAAAGTATTACTACTTGAGATATTTAGATGGATAGACAGACAGACAGACTATTTAAGGATCAAGAACCTTTTATGAAGTCATTGGGCCTGGTATTCCCATTCCTCAATTATGTATCTACCCTCTTTTTCTGGAAATTTCCCTCCAAACATGTATTCTAGGAGTCTGATAGAGATTAGTTTTAAATAAAGTACATGTAACCAATTAATGACAGAGGCATATGATAGAATTTAGAAACAGCCTTGCCCTATAAGTCATGAAATCTTGATTCTGCCCTGGTTCTGCCCTTTGTTTTTAGCTAACCTTTGAATATTTAGTTAATGGCTCTTAGTTTTCTTTCTGTAAACGGAGAAAATTATAGCAGGTTCCTTCCCAGTATAACCATATGATGTTGAGACTGAATACTAAGATTCTAGAAATAGAATACAAAAGAAGTATGAACAAATGGGTCAGGTACCTTCAAAATAGAGTCAGGATAAGTTTCCTTCTGGATCTGCTGGGTGAATTGACAGCCAGTGAAATTCTCTGGGATCGCTGGGGTGACATCATAGTCTCCAACTTTGTTGAACTGAAGCACCTACAATAGGAGTCAGAAAGGATAGTAACATGTTTTAATAAATTACTTAGTTTAGAAAACTAATCTCTATCAGGTGCCTCAGAGCAGTCCTATATCTGATTATGTACCTCTGTGTGTTGGAAACAAGCATAGACATTTTTTCTATGTGATATGGAAATGCCAGTCAATCTAAATTTCCCTTGTAGGAAATTGTATGAGATATTTCAAACCAATACATCTTCTGGCCCTTTTGGAAAACAACTTGCTATTATATGATGATTTATAACATCTTCCCTAAAATATCACCCCACCCACAAATTGTCTTGAAAAATAACCCAATATTTTCTTGAAAGTAAGACAACTAAATCAGAGACTTTTATCTCTCTTCTCAGTTATATA